TGTGTGTGTGTGTGTGTGTATGTGTGTGCGCACATGCACTTTTTTGGAATCTGAGGTTTGCATAGCCTGACTCACTCAGATTCTTAGTTTGCATACTATGTATTGCTATGAATTTCAGTGGATGGTAGGATGGAGAACCTGGATATTTTTCTTTCTTTTTTCCCTTTTATTATATTGTTATAAGTCTTGATATATTAGATTGTTTCAATGCAGTGATATTTATATAAAATGATTAAAGATTGTTACCATTCTATTGTGTAAAAAGCTTAAGGTATTGAAAATAGAGAAAGAAAGGTAAGAATTCAGTCAATATTTCAAGCATAAAATTATTTAGCTTTCCATCCAAAATGAAGTACATTAGATAAAGAAGAAAACCACTGCGACTCACATCAAAATATTAGTTTCAGTCTTAAGATAATTAATATTAAAATCTCCCTTGTATTGTTACATTATAGATAGATAGATAGATAGAGATAGATAGATAGATAGAAAGATAATAGATAGATAGATTTAGATAGATAAAAAGGAAGAGACAATAGACAAAGCAGGTTTAAAATACCTGCAAAGTGGAAAAAAAAGTAGTAAACAAAAAGAAAAGAAAAGAAAACAGCAACAACAAAAACCTACTGGTTTCTGACTCCCCCACTTTGCTCATTTGAGATATTTGTAAGCATTCAGGGCCCCTTAAAGCCGGACTGTAAATGGTTATATTTACTATGCTGTGTAATGTGCTGTATGTAAGGAAACCATTCTTGCTTATGTTTAGCTAAGCTTCTATTGTGTAAGTTTCAGTTTTGCCATCGCTGCGTATTCTCCACGTTTGAGTTCCCAATCAGATACTGTCACGATTGTGTCTTTTTTCAAGTGGTGAGCAAATTTTATTCTCGCTGCTCTAAACATATATCTCATTAAATTATATTTCTTGTTATTTTTTTTCTGAGATTATACCTAATAGGAAAAGTTGTGGTTTCATTTAAAATTTGAGTTCCAACATTTTCTGCGTTGTACTATGTATGTCTTTCCAGTACTTTTGAGTTCTTTTATACATGCAACACATGTGCTAAAATGTTCCTTCTGTTTCATGGCATTTCCAACATTTATTACTGTATAATGTGTCCATCTTAGATATCATTGATGGGGTTGTACACCATCTATAAAACATTTTGTACCGATTTTCCTTTAAATTATAACTTGGTGTAAATTTTATAGATTTAGTCTATAATTCTTCCAGCTGTGGTATTATAACTGCTTCTTTGAAATTTTGCATCGAGTCTATCATACAGTTTTTTGTTTGTTCTGCCTCTGGATCATATCTAAGTAAGAGTTTGTATATATGCCCTAATAGCTGTTGTTGATTTTGTATAGGAGTTTCAAATTCTGTTGTTGTTTTTTCCCCTTAATATCCTCCCTTCCTTTTTGAGATCTAATTTTATCCTCCTGGTTATTCGTATATAGCCAGAATAAACAGCAAAAGGGTGATTAGAACATTGATTTTGGAAAGTTACCAATAGACTAAGGGTCCATATGGATTTGAAATAAGGTTTTGAAATTAATTATAAGAATCCTTCCTGTGGGAAAATGCTGTTGTTTCGAATTCTTAAAAAAACAACAACATGATAGGATAGGACTTTGAAGATTGGACACTAGAGGGAACTAGAAGGAACTAGAAAGAGAGACTGCATCTCTCTTTAGAATCTTGTAAAGTTTTTGTAAAATCTTGTAAACTGCGGGTCTTTTCTCACTCCATATGAATTTACTGACAGTTTCTTGCCATTCTTGAAAGATTCTTTCTAATATTCTAATTGATGCCATTTAAACTAATAATTTATCTTGGGTTCATTTTATTCAATATTGCCAACATGAATTGCCACTACAATTGTCAAAGGCTTTTTCCACAACCAAGAAGCTTTCTTCCTTTTTTTATCTATGTATTCTATTGTGCTGATTATGAACCTACTGTTGTCCTTCATATTTCTCTTTGGGATGAAACCAGTTTGGTCGATATGTATAACATCTGAAGCACATTTATTCAGTCTATCAGCTAATCCATGAACACTAACTAGCAGATAGAAGAGACAAGGTAAACTCCTTAATCTAACTACACATGGGCAGACTCAACCATAGTTTCATCTGGGAAACTGTGAGCATCCTAGACAAAGCTAAATCCAGAAATGCTAGGGAATTCCTGGAAGCTTGGCATTCAGACAAATCAGCCAAAACTGGCAGGGTAAACTACTGTATATAAACAGGGAGCAAACCCCACACTCACTTGCACTGATGATGTTACCTA